CATAAACAACCTTCTCCATGTCAGGATATTTTGCTGGTTTGTGTCTTTTGATCTCTGCTCTTCCCTTTTCTATTTTAGCAAAGAGATAGTCATCTGACCGCTTAAGTGTGTTTGATATTGTTCCTTGACTAACTTTCAACTGAAATTTTCCCTCAAGCCATCTCTGCAAGTCTTTTTGTGTGCTTGCAGGATTATCTCTCTTATACTCACACAACTCCTTACGTATTTGATCTGACATAGTTGATTTTGCAACACCTTTTAGATGAGAAGCCATCTTGTGAGATATGGTTTGAATACTCTAACACATTCATGTAATTTATATATGCCAAACTTGCTTAAGAATACATTAAACACATTTGTTCCTCTTGTTTACATCTACTGTACTTCAAAAGTCATTATTGATTTCCAATACATATGTAGTGTAGTTACTAATTCACTATACGTTGAGTCCCAAGGTTCGCTGCAACGTAATTCTAAGAGGCATAGATTAATTTGCCTTTTTGTTTGGTATGTACAATATAATTACTTAAAAACTCTTTAAATTAATAATTATTAATTTATCGATAAATTAATAACTTTTTAAATTAATAAATTTCTTCGATCTTGATATTATTAATTTAAAGAGTTTCTATTGTATACCGATTCTTAAGTTACAAGAACTTCTAAAAAAAAAGTAAAAATACCAATAGAAATGATTTAAAGAGTGACACAAGAGAATCACTAAAGAGATTCTTCTTAACCTTTTTTGCTTGACTAAGCTAAAGAAAGAAAATTGGGACAATTATAGACCGCAAAAGTCACTCTATTGGTTAAGGATCTAACCAACAATTCACGAGGATTAGAATTTCAAGCAAGATATTTACAAAAAAAAAAAATATTGAATAAAGTTTCTATTAATATTATTAAACCTAGTTCACTATTACTGTTTACTTTTATTTCTTTTACTTTAAAGTTCTAACCATAGTTGTTAATACAGATAATATCGCATAGCATATGACTCTCAAAAAGTTATAGTAGGATAATGCATATTGCATAGCTAGATAATCACTATTTTAAAGTTTTTATATGGATATATATATATATATATATATATATATATATATATATATATACTATAAATAACATATAAATAATTATCAACAAAAGGCATAAAGAAAAAAAAGAAAGTGAATTTTTTAGAAGAACATAACAAAGGCAGGACTATAAAAAGATAGAATAGAGAGAAAAAAGGATGTGAGTTTTGTTTGAGAAGTCATTAAAGATAAGTGACTTTAGTGGACGAACAAAGAAAGGGAAAAAAAGTAAGGTTTTGTCATGTAACTCCAATTGCAAAGCACAACACCAATAAAGTTGAGTGGAAGAAGTGTCAAAGAGAGAAAGAAAAAAAGAAGAAAAATCATGATAAAAAGTGAAGTTAAATCTGAAACTGTAAAAATTATTTTACCTTAAAAATACTTAAAGATTGGGTCATCTTAAGGGTAAAAAAAATAAATTACAAATTGAAAACATGATAAAAAATGAAGTTAAATCTGAAACTGTAAAAATTATTTTACTTTAAAAATACCTAAAGATTGGGTCATCTTAAGGGTAAAAAAGAAAATTATAAATTGAAAGTTTAACAAATGAAAACAAAAGTAGAAGTAATTACATTAAAGAACATTAAAATCAATGATGAAAAAGAAAAATTAAAATTTTATTCGACACAATTCATTATTTTTAGTTTTTAAATATTTAAAATATAAAACTAATTTTAAATTTTAACATTAAATCTTAAATATAATATACAAAAATTTATTTCTTACTTTTCAAACTAAACTTAATTAATAATTTATTAATATTTATAATAAAAATTTAACAATTATAGACATAATAACTATTATAATGAAACGAATGATAATTATACTAATAGTGATTGACGATGGTAGTAATAAAAATAGATGAGTACAATGATAATAATAATTATTTTGTATACTGTAAGATAAATTAAAGTGAATATTTGTTTTTTATTTCAAAATAAAAAATTAAAATAAATTTTTTAAAATTTAAAAAAATTTAAGTAAAATTATTTTGAAATTGAAACCAAGCAAGCATGTACTAGTGTGCTATATGTCAAAGTTTACTAATTCACCTCTTTGTGTAAAAAATTTAAGTTACTTTCTCATCTCATTTGTTTTTAGCAACTAGAGATGTCAATGTAGACCAACTCACCTCTTTTTGTTAAAAATTTGCCATAAAACATGTTAGTCTGTCCCACTCTATATCTATATCTTGAATCGTGCTAATTTTTATAGTCATACTTATTAAAGGATGGATTGGTGGAATAATGAGTAAAATAAAATAAAATAGGTTAGCAGACCAGCAGATTAATAAGTTGATTCACTTAAAATTTATATGAACATAAAAATTACAAAAAAGAATAAAAACATAAAAAATATTATATTAATAAAAATTGATATTTAATTAATAAATAATTATATTTTAATTTTAAAAATAAGTTCAACAGTAGCATGTATCAATCCGTTACTAACCTGTATTTTGATGGATGAACCTCAACAGCCCAATTTGACACTCCTGTTTGTAGCATCCAACTCAGTCAATAAATCATCAACCTTCTTTTCATTATCAGAAGTGCTAAATAGTTTGAAAATATTTTGCACGGATTCAATGAATACTTAACTTCGTTTCTCAATATAATTGGTTTAAATAATAAAATAAAAAATAAAAAATAAAAAATAAAAAAACTGAGAGAAATCAAAAGGACAGTGATATATACTTGTTACGTCACTTTTCATGTTTAATTTTTATACTACCAATTTTATTTCATTATTACTACCTCTTTCTTGGCTTTAAACGTAGGGATATCCACCTTGGTTAAATGTCAAAACAAAAGGCATCACAAAGGAAACAATAAGAGCAAAATTTAAGGGGCAATCTCATTGTTTAAACCATTAAAAATAGATATTATACATGGCACTTTATTCATTTACTTTTATCTCTTGCTTTTTTTAATCATTTTTATATCCATACATTCCTAAAATATTTAAAAGAAATCATCTTAAGGTGTCTCAGCTAAGATGAACAAAGATATTTCTCTACTGAAGATGGCGATTAATTCTTTTTTGAGAGGCCACAGTAATTAAAAGTATTTATAAATAAAGCATAAATTAATGTTATGGGATTAGTCTTTAAATTTATGTTAACATATTAATTTATGTCTTTTATTTTAAATAAATATTAATTTTACATATATTTATTTAAAATATAAAATTTATCCCTTTTTTTTTCCTTCTTTTCTAAAACTCTTTTTTCAAATAACCGATTCCTGACATTATTTTATACATTAGTGCAATTGAAGATAAGGTCAGAGGAAAACTTGGTCACAATTATATGTTGACCTCTTTTAAAAGTCAAATTCCCACGAAAACATGCTTGTTATGCTCGTTTCTACAATATTTCGAGTGCCAGTAAAAATTACCAAAAATTAAATCATTTTTAGGGAAAATTGAGTGAGGTAATAACAGAGGATAATTCCTGTCACACAAAATACATCTCACTCGCATCCTTACCTTTCAACCTTTGACAGAGATTAAATTGACTCAAGTGCAGAAGTGTTTTTACAATAACTATCCTTCACATTTCATCACTTAAAATTAAAACTCATTTGATATCGATAATAGTAGTGACAATAATTACATTAATCATAATATGCACAAGATAGTGACTTATCATATTGATGATAATAATATTTGTTATGATAAGACTAATTTACAATGACAATATTCAATCACTTTGTTTTTAAAATAATTTTAAGTGTATGAATTATTAAAAACTAGTAAATATGACAAGTTTAACCGATCTTATTGATTCACTGAACAATAGATTAAAATAAATTAATAATTTATCCAATTATTTTTTTTCGATCACCAAACATGTTAATAGTATCAATAATTTGCAATGTCACTTTACCCATACTTATCCAAACATGCTAATTCGCATCAACAAGTCAATAACATTTGAATTTGACGTGCTAGTAAAGGTCACCACGATGAGATCATTTTAGAAAATGAGTGTATATATTATCTTATTATTTTTTAGTTATTGATTAAAAATATTAAAATGTTAATAAAACTTGTTATGAAAAATAAAATTTACACAGTTCTTATAATTTTAAATTAATAATATCTTGTGTACAAAATGTTTTTGATAAATTAATAAACTTGTTCCTCATTATAGAAATTTAAAGTGAATTTATAAAAATTATTCCATTTGAACAATAAAACAAATATGAGTGCAATTTGAAATGATTATAAATCATAAAAAAACCAAAAAGATAAATTAAATCTTACAGCAAATTTAATTTTTATAAGAAACCCATAAATGTGAGCGGAAATGTAATTCAAATCGAAACTAAATACCCCCTTTAATCATGTGAAAGTCATAGGTAGCGGTCCACTGCATGTGAGAGGCGTTTGGAAATGACAAGTGCGAGGATGGGTTTCTTGAAAGTCTACAAAATGTCTCACGCCTCATGTCCACGTCCTGCTCCCTCTAAACCCACCCTCCTCACTCTCATTATTTGAAACTCAATGAACCGTTCTTGTCCTAAGAAAATTGGTTAGTTAAATGGGCTTGCACTAACGTGATGTGTCTCCTCTCACAGCTTAACAACGTGTCCAGATTCCAGGAATGCCGATCCGAGCATAAAACGTTACTAGAAACCGATTAAACATCACAGTCACTAGACAATGACCCGTAACACCATACCTTATGCCTAGCGATAAAATTAGTAGCTTCTGATTTTCTAGTTTCAACTTTTGTTGTCACATACTAATTTATGTTTGTTACCCTCTTTTCTTTGTTGTAACTTTTCAGAGTGCATGAGTCATTCATGAGGTATGACTGGTCAAAATCTAACATTGGGTACATCGAATCTCATCAGATTTAAGTACATTGAGATATCAACCTCACGTTAAAGTGAAACATAGATAGGCCAAAAACATGTTCAGCTTTCTATTTTGGTAGCAAAATTCTGTTCTTGCTTCTAGACTTGAGTGGCTTGACAACAAGATGGAACTCTCTAACTCACTCGGTGTCATGAAGAAGAGCTCTTCTTCATCCCAGAACTTGGGTTCTTTCCCAAGTCCAGGGGCACCATATTATAGAGATAGAAGCCTTGGGAACCAAAAGGGGTGGAGCTCCGAGAGAATTTCAAAGCCTACAAGCAGCATAAGTATCAGCAGCAGGCACAGTATGGCTGGTTTGACACCATTATTTAGTCGTGGAAGAACCATGCCTTCAAAATGGGATGAAGCTGAGAGGTGGATTTGTAGCCCAGTTTCACCCTATGCTGAAAGCAGAAGCTCACATGCACAGCTTCAACGCAGACCCAAATCAATTAGTGGCCCAATTGTGCCTCCTGGAGTTGCTGCTTTCTACTCGAATTATTCACCTGCTGTTCCACTACGCCAAGGCTTGATTGTGAGAAACTTGATGGTGGGTTCTCCCTTTTCAACAGGGGTGTTGGCACCGGTTGCTGTTTCTGTCCACCATTATGACCCTCGTGATAGTGCTGTTTTTAGTTATGACATTGACAATGGAATACAATGTTCTAGTCCTGTGCTCAATGAAAATGGTGCAGTGCATTCAGCAATGTCCACTGCACCCACGTGTGGCACATTATCCCCTACCTCTCAAGGTAAATATAATATATGCTGCCCGGGTTTACAGGTATCCTAATTAAAATTTTCATTATATATTCCTAGTGTAAGACGTTGGATATGCAATCACTTGATTAGCATAAGTAGAAACTGTTTCTGACACGCGATAGCTACTGTTTGTGACTAGATTTCAGGGGGCAATTAATGCGCACTTTTGTTGTATTCAGCTAAACATTGACCAACATCAATGAATTTTGTAAATTGTGAGCATTGTTTAGTCATTCCCTAATTCAATTTGACAATATCCCTGACAGTGAGGACAAAACTGTATAATCCATACACTACTATATGTTGACAACATTCGAGAATCTACATGTATAAAATGATTTCATTTTTATTTTAATTTACAGATGAGAAACATGATGGAACGATGAATGAGGACAATGTAATATGTCAATCCTTGAGATGTGATAGAGGTACCCAAATGAGTCCTGAGGAAACAGAGAATGATGCACATTCATCTCCAAAATCTTGTGCCACTTCGATCATAGGTCAACAAGATTGCATTTCTACCAAATTAGAGGTCAGAGATGTGCAGGTTGACAGTGAAGCTACTATCATCAAGTGGTCCAAGAGGCACGCAACCAAATTGACCAAAAAGGACTCACTGCACAGCAAAGAGTTGAGAGAGATTAGTGCACAAGCCCAAGCATCGTGTTGGGATATTAATGAGTCAACCTTGGACACTTCCAAGTATGTTGTTTAAAACTCGGGTTACATTAGTACTTTTGGTTCCTTGGCTTAAGGATTGCAGCAGAACAATTTCTAGATATAGAATCAGTTTGGAGGCTGCAAATGAATGCTTTTCAGTTCCTTAGATTGTCGTGGGATCTCCGTGATATTCATTCAGAAAGCAAAATGCATATAATGCTAGTGTTTTACTCATGCATTTATCTAGGAGCTTGTGTTTTGGCGCAGGTTACAGAGAGAGGAAGCCAAAATCATTGCGTGGGAAAATTTGCAGAAAGCAAAGGCTGAAGCTGCAATACGAAAACTTGAGGTTTTTTTTTTATTAGTAATACACTGAAATAGTCTTTAACATTATAAGTAATAGTTAATTTAATACTTAAAATTATAAAATTGTCATTTTAGTCTATGATTTTGTTTAACATAAGTCAATTTAGTTCTTATTTGTTCAAGGACCAAAATGATTATTATTATTTTTTACTTTAGGGACTAAATGATCTTCCTTTAAGAATTCTAAGGAATAAAATGATATTTTATATTTAAGGATTAAATTGACTGTTTAGGAACTAGTTTGATTTGTTACTCGTTTTTTTTTCATCAAAATTTATATATTGAACTTTCACATACAATGTTTGTCTCGATTCTAACAAAAATTCGTATTCATAATATCATGGTTAAAAGCAAGATATTAAAGAATTTGCAATCTCTTTCCTGACCTTGATAATATTTGACACAGATGAAATTGGAAAAGAAGAGATCATCATCAATGGATAAGATTCTAAACAAGCTGAGAAGGGCACAGTTGAAAGCAGAAAATATGAGAAACATAACACCTGTACGACAGGGCCATCAGGTTTCCAAGTGCAGAGCATTTTCATTATCCAAATATGCTCTGATATGGTCTCCAATCAGCTGCTTCAGCAGCCATGCACATACTCAGTAATCCATCCCTTGTACAATCCCTCAAGTCATTTAGGTCTTAATGTCATTTGATGTAATTGACACGTTGTGTTAGAAAGCCTTACATCATTATTTGCAGCTAGCCACTTAGGTATGTGTTAAATGTATATAATGCAACACGATTTATTAGGACGATCTTTCCTTGTTTATTCTCACTTTTTTTCACATTGTTCTTTTTTAATAAGAATATTTTGTTGGACACGCTTTGTACTCACGGCTGGTGATTGAGGCACAATTCTTTGGAAATGTGTTTATTTTCTCTTAAGTTCAATATGCTGGGGAGAAGACATATCTTCCTCTGATTATCAATTCTGTTTCGCTCTTGTAAACTAGTTAATGATCTTCCACCAAATCCTCCGAAAGAATCCATGCTATTCAACATCAAATTCCCGCTGGACCATAGATCATCAAGAGGTGTGGCTGAATCTATGGCAACCTGCAGGAACAAGTTGCTAAGAAATTAAATAATTTAAATCATATATAAATCCAAATTAAATAATATATCTAAGTTTCAGCAGAATGAATTTGTGCAGCCTCTTTTTTATATATATATATATATATATATATATCGCCATTGGAGTTCATCTTGACAATCACAACATAATGTTACGTGACAGCAACATCAAAGTAAAAAATTATGTTGAGACATTTAAAATTATAGAAGTTACATAACTTTTTTTATATATATATTTAGTTCTTTAACTACTGTAAACAATGGCTAGTATCTTAGCTTGGGAGCATAAGAGTTTCAAATTCCCTCCCGTTATAGTGGAAATTGGACGTCAATTCTTTTGAAGTCAAGTGTGAATTGGTCTCACATGGAATGAGATATGGATAAGTTAGGTATCTATAAGGAGATGGACTTATATACCTATTGCCTTAAAGTTTTGGGATTGTATTATTGTATCCTACCCCTTATGAAGTTCCTACCTAAAAACCTACTCCCAATAGTGATATCAAAGCTCGGTCAATCTAGGTGACCGGCTTAGACGGGTAGATGAGCCGCGACAGAAAGAGTCGACAATGTGGCACCTATGGTCATCAGTCTGAGAGTGCATCGTAGAGGAAACAATGACACTAGATAAGCCCTAGCCAAAGAGCTAGTGGCACCCATGTGAGGAGAGTGTGGAGCCCGTACCATGTGGAAGAGAGCAAGGGTTGCTCTGATGTATACCATAGATACTTGTGATGGAGAAAACTTTCGCTATGGAGGGAGTCGATATGAAATAGATAGATTCACACTTGAGGGAGAGTGTTGGAGTCAAGTGTTAGTCTAACATAAAATGAGATATGGGCAAGTTAGGAGTCCATAAGGAGATGGACACATGAACCCATTACCTTAAGATTTTGGGATTGTATTATGATGTCCTACCTCCTGTGAGGTTCTCTGCTAAAAACCCTACCCCTAACAGTGGTATATTGTGGATATAATTCCATTTTTGTGTTGTAATTGTGTTTGTTAAAAAATGGAAGTTTAGGTACAAAAATTTACTTTTAATTCTTTCCACGATTTCTCAGCTCTAGACTCTCTCTCTCACACCTCGCATGTGTGTTTCCATTATGTTATATGAGCAATCATTCTTGTGTTTCGTGTGTATAGATTCTAACAATGGTATCAGAGCTCTAGGTTCAAGTTCCTAGGAGTTAAGTTTGCAAGAAGAGATCATGAATAGAAACAAGTTCTTTGAACATTTGCCAATCTTTGATGGTAAGAATTATGATAGGTGGTGCATTCAGATGAAGGTAATTTCTAGGATGTAGGATGTGCTTGAGATTGTTCAAGGTAGAGTGCAAGAATTGAAGAAGAATGCTTTAGAAGCTCAGAAGAATGTCTTTTGGGAAACCAAGAAATGCAATTGCAAAGCCCTTTTCTTGATTCACTAGTGTGTAGATACAACAAATTTCGAGAAAATTTTAGCTACTACTTCAGCCAAAAAAGTGTGAGATTTTCTTGAGAAATCATATGTCAGATTAGACAAGCTAAAGAAGGTGAGGTTGCAAACCATGTGAAGGCAGTATGAATTGCTGCAGATGAATGATCAAGAAGGTGTTATAGAATACCTTGGTCATGTTCAAACCATCATGAATTAGATGACATTGTGTGGTGAGAAGTTAAGTGATCAGCAGGTGATTGAGAAAGTTCTCATAACCTTAACCTCAAAGTTTGATCATATAGTAGTGACTATAGAAGAGTCAAAGAATCTGGAGGAAATGTGGTTAGAAGAGTTACAAGGATCTCTTAAGGCTTACCAGCAAAGATTGAATGAAAGATATGGTGAGAAAGTTGCTGAGCAAGCTTTGTTGGCTTTGAACAACAAGAAGAATGGTGGAAAAGGTAAAAAGAAGCAAGGGAAGTGGAAGAACAAGAAAGAAATAGAAGGTAAACCAGATGAAGATTCTGACTAGGCAACACTTGATTATAGTGAAAGAAAAGATCAACAGAAATGCAATGATAAGAAAAAGTTCAATGAAAAGAATGTACAATGTTATAATTGCCAAGAGCAAGTTAAGGTTTGCAAGTGACAATGTGTTAAGAGAAGAAGGAATGAGAAAGGTACTGATTCAAAGAAAGGATAGGAAGACATCATGTATCTTTGATGTTCTTTGTGTGCCAAATATAAAGAATAACCTTCTCATTTAGGTCAGTTGCTACAGAAAGGTTACAAGATGACTATGAAGGAAAACGTGCTAAAGATCTATGGTGGCTCAGGCAGGTTGATCTTGAAGGCTCTTCTATCCAAGAATAGGACCTTCAAGATTGACACACAAGTTTATAATGAGCAACAATGTATGTTAGCAATAGTAGAGAATGAGAGTTGGTTATAGCACCACAAATATGGGCATTTAAGCTTCAACAACCTAGGTCTGTTAAGTTTAGAGATAATGGTTACTGGATTGCCAAAGATTCAGAAACCTATCAGTATTTGTAAATAATGTTGTATTTCAAAATAGACTAGGAAGTCATTCAAACACACTATCCCAACCATATCAGTTGCAGCTCTGGATATGATCTACTTAGATGTGTGTGGACCATTTGAAGTGACATCCCTAGGAAGTAACCTATACTTTGTTTCCTTCCTAGATGATTTCACTAGGAAAATATGGTTATTTTTGCTCAAAAGGAAAAGTAATGTCTTAGACATGTTTAAGAAATTTAAAGCTGTTGTTGATAAGGAAAAAAAGAGGGGTATTCAAAATTTAAGGACAGATGATGGTGGAGAGTACACCTCTAGGAAATTTGAAGCTTTCTGTGAAAAAGAAGGAATAGTGCATGAAATAACTCTTCCCTACACATTTCAACACAATGAAGCTGCAAAGAGGTTGAATAAGACAGTACTCAACATGACAAGATGTATGTTAAAAATGTATGATCTTCCTAAGGGATTCTAAGATGAGACAGTAACAACTACTGCTTATATCATAAACAGAAGTCTAGCCAAGAGATTATAGAACATAACACCAGAAGAAGCATGGTTAGGTAATAAGCTTAGTGTAGCTCATTTTAAAGTTTTTGGCTGCCTATGCTACAATCATGTCCCTGATTAGCTCAGAAGAAAGCTTGATGACAAAGGAGAACCAATGATCATGATTGGTTATCACTACACAAAAGCATAAAATTGTATGATCTTATATCTAAGAAAATTATGACAAGTAGTGATGTGGTGTTTGATGAAGGGAGAGGTTGGAATTGGAGTTCTAACTTTAATTCAAGGAAGCTTTCAGCTTGGATCAATTTTGAGGGAGAGAAGAACCATGGTGTTGGTAATGGTGATCACACTGGTCATCATAAAGGATCAGAAGCTAAGCCAAGCAATAGGCCTCAGAGAGCAAGGCAAGTCTTAAATAGGCTTGCTGGATATGAGATATACACTGATGGCAATATTGACATTAAGGGTAATTTTACTCAAGATGCTAATAGAGAGTTGGTCTATTTATCTTTGATGGCAGAAGCAAAACCAATTCTATTTGAAGATACAGTTAAAGAGCCAAGATGGATAGAAGCTACAAAAGAAGAGATAGCGGCTATTGAGAAGAATCAGACCCTGCAACTTTGCACCTTGTCAAAGGGGAAGAAGCCAATCAATGTCAAATGGATTTACAAGGCAAAAGAGAAGCCTAATGGTGAGACAGTCAAATATAAAGCCAAATTAGTGGCAAATAGATTTCTGCAGAAAGCAGGAATTAACTTCAGTGATGTTTTTGCACCTGTTGCAAGGATAGAAACAATAAGGTTGATCGTGACAACTACAAGCTACAAAAGATGGCCATTACATTAGATGGTTGTCAAGTGAGTTTTTCTTAATAGTTGGTTTGATGAGGAAGTTTATGTATCCCAACCTCCTAGTTTTGAAATGGTTAATGAAGAGGATAAAGTATATAAGCTGAGAAAGGTTTTGTATGGACTAAGACGACCTAGAATCTGGAACAAGAGGATTGATGGTTTTCTGTCATAGTAGAAGTTCACCAAATGCAGAAATAAGCATGAAGTATATGTAAGATCCAAGTCTGTGAAGCACTTACTGATAATTTGTCTTTATGTAGATGACCTATTGGTGACAAGAAATAGCCTTGAGGAAATTGACAGGTTCAAGCATTCTATAAAGACAGAATTTGAGATGACAGATTTAAGGAATTTGTCGCACTTTCTTGGTATGGAATTCAAATAAACTGGTCAGGGTGTTTTCATGCACAAGAAGAAATATGCTTTGAGCATCCTCTAGAGGTTCAAGCAAATTGCAATCCTACTCTCTCACCGGTAAAGGTTGGTACAAAACTTAAGAAAGAATGTAATGAGAGATTTGTTGATCCTACTTTTTACAAGCAGATTGTAGGATCATTAAGATATTTGTACAATAGTAGGCCAGACATCTGCTATGGTGTAGGGCTGATAAGTAAGTATATGGAAAAGCATAGAGTCTCACACATGCAAGCATCCAAGTGTGTTCTGAGATATGTTCAAGGAACTATGCAGTTTGATGTATTTTATCTAAACAAAAGCTGCTGTTCAGAAGCAAATATAGTGAGATTTATTGACTCAAGCTAGAGTGGTGATGTTGATAATGGCAAGAGCACAACTGGACATGTTTTTGTGTTTTGTAATTCACTAGTCTCCTAGAGCTCGAAGAAGCAACAATCATTGTCTTTATCTTCTTGTGAAGTTGAGTATGTGGCAACATCTCTTGGAGTTTGTCAAGCAGCATGGATGAGGAAT